AAATCTACAAATTGCCAACACAGTTGCAAGATAACGTAAAAATTTGAGAAAAATTTTTAAATTAAAATTTTACAATTATATATTTTTAAAATAAAATCTATAGTTATATATAGGATATATACAAACTATAGATAATAAACTAAACTATTCAATTTTTATTTATTTTATATCCTTATAATTGTTTAAATATTACAAAATCATTTTATATAAAAAAGTAAGTTCACTTAAAAAGTTTTATTTAAAAAAAAATGAAATTTTTAATCTTTAAATCTCTAAAATATAAAACTTTTACTTAAAAGTTATAAAAGTTATAAATTTTTACTTATAAGAAATAAATATAATATATAATTAGCATCTGCTCAAAATCATTCAATTTTTTGTAATGTAATAACTATTCATATAACATATTATATAATTTTTTACAAATTAATAACTCAAGTATATAATAAACATTGAGAAACTATATAAATTAATAAATTCCTCATACTATATAGTACATTCCAATAAATAGAAGACATTAGAATAAATAGGAGATAAAAATCTAGATTTTATTCTATATCTTCTTAATAAATAAAATTGAAAAAAGTATTATAATTACTTTTAGATTTGGTATGATGCAACAAAAATATTGATTATATACGCTGTATATATAATTGTGTAATATAATAATAATAATAATAATGAAAAATTTATTAGCATGATTGAGTAAGCACAATAGACACAAAAATAAAAAAAACTATAAATACACTGTCGTATAAAATTATAATATGTAATACAGATGTACAAAACATGATATTGTGTTAGAAATTTATTATAATGAAAAAGTTGCAGAACACCAAACGAAAAATAAGTTCAATATTAAGACAGAAAAATAACGTCAAAAACTCAGCTGGTTTGTTTTTAATTTGAACCATTGAGAAGAATGTGAAGTAAATCAAAATGTATAGAGCGCTCTATTACTTCAATTTGAATAATTGAAATATATTTGTATCAGAACATGTGAATGATTTCAATTATACTTTTCTTTATTTAATATAGTATTTATGTACTTATTTTATATAATATAATTTATATATTATATAAATGTATATTTGCTTTACACACGTTATACATATTTAAATGAAGCATTTGTTGATATATAAAACCAAAATTAAATTTGTTTATTCTATAAAATTTAATATTGAATTTTATTGCAATACTTTAATTATTTCGAAATTAAGATATAATAAGTATACAAATATATAAATATAAATTTTTGTACTACAAATGTATATCTTCTAAAATTATAAAACTGAAAAAAAAAAATATATATATATATATAAATTTTATTATATATATAAATTTTATTATAGGGTGAAGTAAAAAGTTCTGAGCGTTTTTTCGCTTTATTTTGACGATGAAATGAACATAGTTAGGATTATCCGATTTAGATCAAATATGCGCCGTTTTGTTCGATAACTTTTGTCCATTTTGAAGGCAATTTCATAATTCCGCGATTAAAGAAGTCCTCGTCCCTATTCGTAAAAAACTTGACCAGCTCATTTTCACAAGCCTCTCTTGAGGCCAGTTTTGTACCATCAAGAAAATTTTGCAAATGCTTGAAAAGGTGATAATCGCTTGGTGCCAAGTCTGGACTACACGGCGGGTGCAATAGAACCTCCCATCCAAGCTCTCGGAGCTTCTGGCGCGTCGTTAATGATGTGTGTGGCCTGGCGTTGTCTTGATGGAACACAACACTCTTCCTATTGGCCAATTCTGGCCGCTTCTGGTCGATCGCCTGCTTCAATCTGGTCATTTGTTCACAATAGAGGTCCGAATTGAGTGTTTGGCCCGATGGGAGCAGCTCATAGTGGATGATTCCTTTCCAATCCCACCAAACACACAGCAAAATCTTCTTGGCCGTTAATCCGGGCTTGGCGATCGTTTGGGCCGGCTCACCGCGATTAGACCATGATCTTTTTCGGCTGTTGTTCTCGTATGTGACCCATTTTTCATCACCAATTACCATCCGCTCCAAAAATGGGTCGATTTCGTTACGTTTCAGCAAAGAATCGCAGGCATCAATTCGGTCCAAAAGGTTCTTTTGCGTCAATTCGTGTGGCACCCATACATCGAGCTTCTTCTTGAGACCAGCCTTATGCAAATGGTTCCAAACGGTTTTTTGGCTAATCTTCAGTTCCTGGGCAATGGAATAAGTGCTCACATGCCGGTCCGACTCGACGATTTCCATGATTTGATTTTATCGACATTTTCGACGATTGGCCTACCAGAGCGTGCCTCATCTTCGACGTCCATATTACCAGAACGGAATCGTTGGAACCACCGCTTTGCTGTTGCATTTGATACTGTATTGGGTCCATAAACAGCTCAAATTTTTTTGGCCGCCTGCTCCGCCTTTTCACCTTGGTCGTAGTGGTACTGAAGAATGTATCGAATTTTCTCTTTTTTTACCTCCATTTTGGAACGCTGTAACACACAACTGGCTTGACCAAACACAAAACTGTCACAGAACCTTTTTGAAGCGTAATGTCACCTTTCAATCGCCGTATCGTATGACCCGATGCGATGTATACATCGTGAGATATGGTTCATTAAAGACATCTAGCGGAAAACGCTCAGAACTTTTTACTTCACCTAATATAAAATTTGTACATATATTAAATAAATTATAACAAATTGTAATATTACAAAAACCTTTGAATAAGAAATATTAACAAATATTTTACCTTATATAAAAATTAATAGTTTTTATCAAAAATTTTTTTAAAATTGATAATTTATTAATTATTTATTATTAAACATCGATTAAATTATGTAAATTGAAATTTGCACTTAATCTTTTAATGATATAATAAATCAAATATAAAAATTAACAAACAGCTATTTAAATTGTAATCATATTTGATAATAAATTAATTAATAAGTTTATAATTTATAAAAAATTTTTATTAAAATATATTAATTTTTATATACGAGAAAATATTTGTTGATGTTTCTTTTTATTCAAATGAAGATCTTTATAATATTACATTTTATTATCTTTTATTTGATATATATACAAATTTTATATAAAAAAATTTATATATATTTTTTTTTCAGTTTTGTAATTTTAAAAGATATGAATATGTAATACATAAATTAATATTTATATATTTGTATATTTATTGATTTTAATTTGGAAACAATTTAGTTTCAAGTGAATAAATTCTTTTACAATATATGCTAATTGATTTTATCAGGATTCTTTAAATTTATTAGATTATATTATTTTTTTATATGTTTTCATGATAAATAAAGCATTGTTTATTTCATAATATGTATACTATTTTTATAAATAATTTATTAAAATTTTTAAATATGTAATAATATTTATTTAAAGAAAATTAAAATAATTCTTATTTTAAAGCTTAATAATATTATAAAACTTATATATTGTATTACTTAATTTATATTAATTATTATTATTGAGAAAGGAGTCATAAACTAAAATATTGCAATAAAATTCAATATTAAATTCTATAGAATCAATTTAATTTTGATTTGATATAATAACAAATGTTTCATTTAAATATGTATAACGTGTGTGAAGTAAATATGCAATTATATAATATGTAAATTATATTATACAAAATAAGTATATAAATACTATATTAAATAATGAAAAGTATAATTGAAATCTTTCACAGGTTCTGATACAAATATATTTCAACTATTCAAATAGAAGTAATAGAGCTCTATACATTTCGATTTATTTCACATTCTTTTCAATAGTTCAAATTAAAAACAAAGTAGCTAAGTTTTTGATGTTATTTTTATATTTTAATATTGAATTTATTTTTCGTTTGATGTTCTACAACTTTTTTATTATAATAAATTTACAATATCATGTTTTGTTTTATACATCTATGTTATATATTATAATTTTATGCGATAGTATATTTATAATTTATTTATTTTTATGTCTATTGTGCTTACTTAATCATACTTATAATAATTTTATTATTATTATTATTATATACACAGTTATATATACAGCGTAATCAACATTTTTGTTGCATCGTACCAAATGTAAAAGTATTATAATACTTTTTTTTACAATTTAATTTATTAAGAAGAAATGTCTAGATTTCTATTTTCATTTATTGTAATGTACTATATAGCATGAGATATTTATTAATTTATATACTTGAGTTATCAATTTGTAAAAAATTATATGCTATATGAAAAGTTATCATATATAAAAAAATTGAATGATTTTAAGCAAATGCTAATTATGTATTATATTTATTTTTTATAAATGAAAATTTATAACTTTTACAAGTAAAAGTTTTATATTTTATAGATTTGAAGATTAAAAATTTCATTTTTTTTTAAATCAAACTCTTAAAGTGAATCTTACTTTTTTATATAATTTGATTTTGTAATATTTAAGCAATTATAAGGATAAAATAAGTAAAAATTGAATAATTTACTTTATTACCTATAGTTTGTATATTTTATTTTAAAAAAATATAATTGCAGAATTTTGATTTAAAAATTTTTTTGAAATGTTTATGTTATCTTGCAACTGTGTTGACATTTTGTGGATTTTTCTGTGCAATTACATTGTAGCAATGTCTTTGTAATGTTTTATTGTAATTTGCAATATTGCAATGAAACATTACAGAGATATTGCTACAATGTAATTACAATGATTTATATTGTATAGAGGTTTTCTCGTTTTTAAGATCAAAGCTATAATAATATTTTTAACTTACCCCAAAACGTAAGTCTAGCTACATCTATGGTATTCTGTTCCGCCTACCATGCGATATGGTAGGACATAACGATATAATTTATATTGATGAGAACTTGCCATTTTCCAATTTAAATTATATATATATATATATATATATATATGTATATATATTATATATATATGCAGTATCAATTGTAATAAATAAATAGCGCGCGCGTAGCGCGCGCCTGTATTGTTCTAGTCCTTATAAAAAGAAACCTTTAATTGAAAATAATAGAAATAGAAATGATGGAGCTGAAGTTTCAAGTTTAACAATGTATGGAAAGAAAAATTCTATTAAAAAGACTTCTCAAGAATATAAAGCATCGCAATCCATTCAAAAAGATGAATCAGTTTCAAAAAACCAGTCATCACAAGTAAATATAATATTTAAAAATGATAAAATATGTTTAAATATTTATTTTAATAATATGTTTAACATAACCTTGTTTGTTACAGAATTATATGCCTCAATGTGAACTTCGCGAACAACTACAACCTAACAAAAATACTTTTAAAGTAAAAGAATATACAATAACATGATAAGAAAACTAGCGTCTACGAGCCACAGAGGATGGTAAATGCCTGAAAAATTTTTTTTGATTGTACGCGAAATTTTAAACGAAAAACACGGCATATGCATATATTTTACTTGGTGCATTTAACCAAGATATAGATTCTCATTTTTGAGAAATTCTATACAACCCTCTTTACCCCCCTGAAGAGACGTAGACGAGAAAAATATCGGGGCGAAGTCGCTGAATCGGGAATCGAACCCGAGTGTTTCGCTTGCCGGGCGACTGCTCTTACCACTGAGCTATTCAGCCCCACACCGATACTACCCTCGTCTATTTGTTTATAACTATGGACAATGAAACGCGATCATTTCAGCTAGCGCGTGAATTAAATTAAATCGAAAGGAATTAGGCTCGTTATATATTCAATAACATGATAAGAAAACTAGCGTCTACGAGCCACAGAGGATGGTAAATGCCTGAAAAATTCTTTTTGATTGTACGCGAAATTTTAAACGAAAAACACGGCATATGCATATATTTTACTTGGTGCATTTAACCAAGATATAGATTCTCATTTTTGAGAAATTCTATACAATCCTCTTTACCCCCCTGAAGAGACGTAGACGAGAAAAATATCGGGGCGAAGTCGCTGAATCGGGAATCGAACCCGAGTCTTTCGCTTTCTCAAAAATGAGAATCTATATCTTGGTTAAATGCACCAAGTAAAATATATGCATATGCCGTGTTTTTCGTTTAAAATTTCGCGTACAATCAAAAAGAATTTTTCAGGCATTTACCATCCTCTGTGGCTCGTAGACGCTAGTTTTCTTATCATGTTATTGAATATATAACGAGCCTAATTCCTTTCGATTTAATTTAATTCACGCGCTAGCTGAAATGATCGCGTTTCATTGTCCATAGTTATAAACAAATAGACGAGGGTAATATCGGTGTGGGGCTGAATAGCTCAGTGGTAAGAGCAGTCGCCCGGCAAACGAAAGACTCGGGTTCGATTCCCGATTCAGCGACTTCGCCCCGATATTTTTCTCGTCTACGTCTCTTCAGGGGGATAAAGAGGGTTGTATAGAATTTCTCAAAAATGAGAATCTATATCTTGATTAAATGCACCAAGTAAAATATATGCATATGCCGTGTTTTTTGTTTAAAATTTCGCGTACAATCAAAAAGAATTTTTCAGGCATTTACCATCCTCTGTGGCTCGTAGACGCTAGTTTTCTTATCATGTTATTGAATATATAACGAGCCTAATTCCTTTCGATTTAATTTAAAAGAATATACTTCTAAACAGCGCTTTAATCAAATATCCATACCAACAAATCCTGCTTGTGTAATACAATCGTCAGCAACAAGCGATAAATCAATTATTCCAAAAGCTTCCAGTTCTTCGAATGCAAACACTAATATGATTCAACAACAACATATTATTAATGTTTTTCAACAATTATTTAAGTAAGTATAATATAAAGTATATTACGTTGGGTGAAATATTTCTTGTATAATATCTTTTATTTATTATATCTATTTTTAAACTATTGTATGATTAAAGTTTCGTACACTCTTTAAACAATACAAAAGAAAAGAAGGAAATTTAATATATACTTTATTTTTTATAGGAAATTAAATCAACGCTTGGATATTATTGAAAAGAGAGAAAGGTATAACGTTATAAAAATCAAACTTCTGTAGAATTAATCTGTAGAATTACTTTACTCATTTACATTTAAAAATATTTTTTTACATATACTTATTTTTATTTGTGTAGTGAAAATCATGTAATGTTGTTGCGATTAACAAAAGCAAAAAATAGAAGAGTCCAATTGATGCCAAAATGTTTTCCATTTAAATCTATTGAAAGTTTAATAAACTTTGATAACGCAACTGATGAACTGTACGATGAAGTTGTAAGTATATTGTAATTAATGACTGAAGTCGTTTATATTAAGAATATAAAATATTTCAAGTAATTTACATTAAGAACATAAAATATTTTCTAATTAAAAAGCAATTTTGTTGCTTTATTACAATATGATTCTGTAATTTTGTAACAGAATTTTTATGTACAGGATTGAAATCCAGAAAATTTAGAGAATCGCAAAAGTTATCGACATATATATTACTATCATCAGTACGTTTCGTGTAAGATATTTTCTGAAAAATATTTCATTATTTAATCTTTATAGCTTTGCACTATATCAACTTACAATATATAACCATGACTGCATGTTTACTTTATTATGAAAGTTCTTTTTTTTATAACTGCGTAACTATATTTTAAATTCTTTTCCATTCTAAAGTAATTTAAAACAAGAGTGGATCCAATTAATAAAAGCAATAATAATAATGTTCTATATTGCATATATTCTATATTTCTAAATATATATATCTTACAATACGCAATACGTCAAAAGCTTGAGCATGATTTTTGAAATATATTTCTGTTTTACATATTTATGCTTATATTTATGCATGACAATAATTAAATTGTTGAACAAAAAATATCTATTACTTATTTTGTTTTTATTTTTATTTCAGGTAGATTACTTCATTTATATAGGTGGATTAAATCCTATTGATTGTGCTGCAATGTATTTCAAATATGCTTTTCAAAATGCTGAGCAAATTTCGCTGCAAGTAACTTGACATGGAACGAAACAGTTAAAAGCTTTAAAACATACTCGCTTCGCACATGCTTGTGAAGGTAAATAAATACCCAGATAGCACATGGAACTCCTATGGACGTCCAATGGACATTCGAGTTTGGACATGTGGACGTCCATAAGATGTCTGAATTAAGTCCGACGGATATCCATTGGACATCCATAAGACGTCGGTTATTCACTACTTCGGATGTCCAAAAAACAATCCAAAAAAGGACTTAAAATGGACATCATTTTCAGTGTCTTACTCTTTCAAATTATTATTGGAATAAATATCAAAAATTCATAAACTCAGAAAAAAATTTATATTTAATTATGTATAATTGTGTAGATATAATTATGTATGGATTTTGACCTAATTTAATCATATATAAAAAATTGTTCTTTATTATACATAAATAAATAGCATTATGTATCCTTCATAACATTTAAAACATAAAAAATTCTTTGGCCCAACAAAATTAAATAATATAATAAAATAGTATAATTTATCTATTTCATATAAAACTTTACATAAAATTCATGTAAAAATTTTATTTATATTTATACTTGCTTATTGCACTCTACATTTTAAATAGGTAATTTAAAATGTAAAGTGCAACAAGCAAGTTTAAATAAGTACCGGATTATTTTCGTTTATTTGCCGGACATTTACTTGTACGACTTATAAAATCAATTTAATATCTGAAACTCTTGTATTGAGAAGATCACAAATTAAATTGAACAGTATATTTTTAATCTTATTTGTTACTCTTTGCAAACTTTATATAATTCTTATAACTAAAACTTAAATACGAGAAAGATAGCGCATCGCATGTCGCATAGCGGTAAACAAACGAACTAACACATCCTTGCGTGCTCGCGCGAAACTTTGATGTCCAAGATCGGACATTTTGTGGACGTCCAAATATTGGCCGTTAACGGATGTCCCGAATCGGATGTACGATGAACAGTCATTTCATGTCCATGGACGTACGGACGTAAAATGGACATAAAATGAATGTCCATAGGATGTCCTGTGCTGTCTGGGATATAAAATAAAATATATTATAGATTTATATAAATAATTAAAATTTTACAATATAAAAAAATAAATAAATATGTTTTTCTTTTAGATGCAATCAGCAGTAATTTTAATTTTCCAAAACCACGACGACATGAATTTGAAGATGCTATGATAAAAGCTCTGAAGAGCACGAAAGAGCGTTTTCGCCGACAACAAAAAAGATCTACATGTGATGTAGAAAATGACGATAACGATGATGATGATAACGAGCCCGAAGAATTTGGGAAGAAGAAGAAAAATTGTTAGAGATGAGCGAAAAAATGACACACATAGTCAATCTAATATTGATTATTCTGATGATGCTCAGCAAGAAATAATAGAAGATCAAGAATATCAAGCAGATATAATTAAAGAAAGTTATAATTCATCTAATGATGATTTATTTGGCGAAATTTAAATTTCATATGTTTTCTAAAACACAATGTTTTTTTTTTTTTTCAAAAATTCTGAAAAAAAGTTTTTTTTGTTTGCTTAACAGTTTATATTATATAAGTTTTGTTTCATACATCTAAAAGTTTATAAAATTCTTAAGAAAAGTTTTTTTTGATTACTTAAAAGTTTATATTATACAAGTTTTGTTTCATACATCTAAAAGTTTATATAAGTTTATATAAGTTTATATAAAGTTTATTTAAATAATTTATAAGTTGATATATATAAATAATACAAAACGTATAATATATTGATAAAAAAATGATTATATATTTATATCATATTAAATAAAAATGTTTTGTATGAATAAGTCTAAATAATGTTTTTATTTTATTAAACAATGTTATATATATATAATATATATTAATAATTATAAAAAAAGCATTTATTATCGTTTTACAAATTTGTATGTTTACACAATGCTGACATTTTGATGTGCAAAATGCTTGCATGTTGTCTGCACTATCTGCTAAGTGTGACGTGCCAAGCATATACTTGCCAGATGCGGTTGCATCTGGCCATCATAAGACAGCACGATAACGCATGCGTGCGTGCATCGTGCGGTTACCGTGCTAACATTTGGTTATCGGGGAACATAAATAGAACAAGTCAATGCTGGAATAATGTGTCGGCAGAATGCATACTGAGAGTACGCATAATCTGCTGTAATAGCAAAATCTCATCAGAAATATCAAACTTGTGCAAGCACGCTATGACCGCAGAAACACAGCAGCAATGCAGCATGCTCTGCCGTCATACGATGACATTTAATTTTTTAAATACAGGATCTGTGCGATGCAATTTGACAACAGATTGTCGGCAGAAATCGAGCAGGATCTGCGCACAATCTTTGATAGCAGATTGATGGCAGAAACGGAACAGAGTTTGCATGATTCGATAGTTCCTTCACTTACCACTAAGCTGAGCTGTAACAGCTAAGTGAGCTGTTCTTTCTCGTAATTCAATTTCTCAGAAATATATATAAAGTCGTGAATATGAATAAAAGACTAAAAGTAATTATCATTTTAATTTCTATCACTTTAATTTCTGATATCTGATACAAGCAAATGAGAGTCAGAATATTAAACTGATTGGAATCAATATGATAAATTGAAAATTATTCATACTGCCTATTTGAGGCATAAAGCAAGAATTTAATTCTAAATAAATTACATCTCAAATTTTACAAGTTACATTTACTTTTATCATTTACTTTATTATTAATTTAATTAAATTGAATTAGTCCTTCGGTATATGAGAACTACGGTATAACATATTACATATATGTCATTTTCTAAGAAAATTCTAATTAACTTGCCGATAATATTGTTATTTAGCACCTGTAATAATCCATTTTGTTGCATTTATATAACATTAATAAAAGTAAGCGCAAATCTTGTGAAGTTTCTGTTGTCAATTTGACATCAGGTTGCATGCGCAGATTCTGCTCGGTTTCTGCTGACAATCTAACATCAAATTGCACGCGCAGATCCTGCTCGATTTCTGCTGTCATATCATGACGGCACACTGTGCTTCATTTCTGCTGCATTTCTGCCATCACATCATATTGGCACATCGTATTGGAAAAAAGAAACTTAATGAGAACACAGCTGAGCGATATCTGCTGCAAATTCATGATTGAATCTGCTGTTATACTGCTGGCATACTGCTAACATTTTGCTATCTGGGTATAATAATGATGTACAATCTATTTCGAAAGTTGTTCCATTATATACTCAAAAAATTTTAGATATTCGAACTCATGATTACTATTCAATGGATCTGTCAGAAGAAAATGCATTTAAATATGTATGTGGATATTTAGTTAAAAAATGTACAGAAATTCATTCGTGCGATGCATGTATACATTATGTAAATGAAAATAAGGCTGTTTTGAATGATTCAACTTTATATTGTTCTTTTCGAGTTTACGAAAATGAAGGAGCAAATCTTTTTGGTAATTTAAATATACCTAGTAATAATTTCTGTCTACATATTCATAAATTAGAGGAAATATTTGTACAACATTTTGAAAATAATTATTTTCAGAAAGGTATCAGTGGCTATTTATTTGAACTTGCGCAAAATGTAACTTTTGTATCACCATGTCCAAATTTCCCTACAATTTTTTTGATAAAACTGTTTTTACGCATGCATATTTACTATACATTATCGCAGCATAATAAAGCATATAAAGGAATTTCAAGAAAAAATAGGAAACTTCTAAATATTTTACACTTATAATTATATTCTATACTTGTGTGCTTATTTTCATATTTACAGCCTTCTTTTTATGACACACATTTATATATGTATAATAATTTATGCGTTTATTATTAGAATTAGTGTTTTATAATATATATTTAATTTTATAATGTTATATTAATGTTTTCTATTAATTAAATATGATTCTTTAATTTTCTTTATTGCATGTTTTTTCTTTATTGCATGTTCTTGTGCTTGCATTTTATACGGCGATAAATATATATTTTCTAATTCCTCTTGTGTGTCTACGTGTGTCTATGCGTCTATGTGTGTCTATGCATTTATGTGTATCTATGCGTCTATGTGTCTATGCGTCTATGTGTGTCTATGCGTCTATGTGTGTCTATGCGTCTATGTGTGTCTATGCGTCTATGTGTGTCTATGCGTCTATATGTGTCTATGCGTCTATGTGTGTCTATGCGTCTATGTGTCTATGCGTCTATGTGTGTGTCTATGCAGCTATGTATGTCTATGCGTCTATGTCTTTTATATGTTTTATATGGTCTATATTTATTAATACGTATTTAATATTATTTAATTTATATATATATATATATATATATATATATATATAAATTTATAATTAATTATATATATATATATATATATATATATATAATTATATAATTAATTACATTAATAATATATATATATATATATATATATATATATATAGATAGGTAAAATTATTTTGGATTATATATAAGTAGATGGCATTATGTATCTTTTATAATATATAAAACATTTGGCTCAACAAAATTAAATAATAATATAATTTATCTATTTCATATAAAAATTTTATTCATATTTATACTTGCATATTGCACTTGACATCTTAAATAGATAATGAATTATTTTCGTTTATTCACCGGATATTTACTTGTTCGACTTATAAAATCAACTTAATATCTGAAGCATTGAGATCAGAAATTAAATTGAACAATATACCTTTAATATTATTTGTTACTTTTTGCAAACTTTATATAATTCTCCTAACTAAAACTTAAATACGAGAATGATAGCGCATCGCACGTCGCATAGCGGTAAACGGGCGAACTAACACATTCTTGCATGCTCGTGCGAAACTTTAACGTCCAAGACCGGACATTATATGGACGTCCAAATATTGGCCATTAACGGATGTCTAGAATCAGATGTACGAGGGACGTCCATAGGACGTTCTGTGCTATCTGAGTGGGTATATGACGTGTAAAAGTAAATTCAGTGGAAGCCATGAGTCAGTCTAAAACTCGTCATAAATGAGATAACAAATTGTAATCTGAATTAAGAAGTCTTTCTGATGATAGAAAAAAGATTTCCTCAAATTGACGTCTATAAGAGATCTTATTCGCAGTTCTAAAAGACATCTTAAAAAAGAGTTCTTAAAGATATCTTTCAGTGTTATGAGCTGTCTGGGTATATATATATATATATATTTTTTCAACATTTTTTACAAGATATATTCGTTTTAAATTCTCTCACTGTAATTTATTAAAAGTAAAATTATTTTTAGTTTATTAATTAATTTTTAGTTTATTAATTAATAGTAAAGAGCAGTAAGCTGTCATATAATGTATATAATAAATTTCTTTTATTTAAATTACATACATGTTAAATTATAACTATGGGATGGACGCATAATACGTTCATATCCACACACAATATACATAGTATACACTTGTATGTGTGTGGTGGCGCATGTACATGTATATATATGAAATGCACGCAGTAATTCTAAATCCAAATTATTATTCAATGATTGCAATACTTAACTCTAATTAGTCAAATTGCCCTCGACAGAGTTTTCGAAGTTGAATACAAAAACATAATTAAATATATAACTCAATATTTCAAGTTTACATCTAATTAAATTTCAGTTTCTTCTCTCAAGCAATTTTTCTTTTCTCAATTTTTCTTTTTTTACTAATATACGTTATATGAATACGTTGCAATCACGTGTCCACACGCGTTCTGCTTACTTTTGGAATAATAATGCAATGATGTCTTAAGACAAGAAATTTACAATTAAGAGATTAATAAGGCTCACTAGAAATTTACACATTTGTATAGATAATAACAGTATCTATACAAATCTCGTTAACAGGCATTGCACTTAATTATATTCATTGCAAATAATTTTTTATATCATCTAATACATTGAATTAATATCTGAATATTAATTCAATGTATTAAATGATATAAAAATATAATAATTAATCAATGATCTATTATTAAAGTCAATGATAATTATGCAAAGTATATTGAAATTTTTCATATACTTTCTTTAATTTATATTTTTTCCTCTTTTCTTTCCGTTATTAAAGATTTAATGCTTATTAAAAATGTTAATTATATGCAATATAATAAAATCTCTCTTTTCCTCTTCAAATTTTCTCAAAAGAATTTCAATCACTTTATATTTTAAAACTGAATCTCTGTTTTATACATAAGAATAATTTGTTTTTTAAAAACGATGATGTGCGTGAATGTGTATGTGTAAGAGAGAGAGGAGGGAAGGGAGGGAGAGAGGGAGGGAGGGAGAGAGAGGGGAGAGAGAGAGAGAGAGAGAGAAATGGAAGAAGAGTAATCTGCATTTTACCTTTTCTTATTTGCAAAAACAACCACGATTATTATTTTAATAGTCATTATTGCATAAGTACGTTTCGATTTTGGAATTGATTATAAATATCATATAAATATCAAATCACACCTCAGTAGTAATAATGGCACGATTATAATAATTTCTATGTGTCAACATGAACATTACATTATTACATTATTATTATTTATTATCTGTCCTTTTGCAACGCACATAATCTGGCGACTGATGGCGCACATAATCATCAACTGATATTTTTAAATAATACATCGTTTTCAATATATGTCATAGAAACTGTTACCGCGCTAGAGTAGCGTAGACAGATTTCAACGATGAAGTATCAAAAGTCTCCATTTTTTAATTCAAAAATGGATTTTTGTTTAGAGTCAGACAAAGTGTATAAAAATTCGTCGATATTTTCATTTAATATGTATATAAAGTTTAATATGTATATGCATACGAAGAAATGTAAGATATTTGTTTGATGTGCAATTCATATAGCCATTGTATATTATGCTCGATATAAAATCCATTTATATTGATGCGCAAGAAACTGAATCAACAAAATGGTTTTTAGACCCCGTATGATTTTTTGATAGATGCTGTGAAACACTGAGAGCGTGCAAAATAACAATTCGAACAGATCACAAGTTTCTTACATCTATACTATCAAATATACGTATACATTATGTTAAGTATATTTGTCTACACTCTGTATATATGAGTTTTTAAATTTCATAGTAAACTTCCTTCACTCTATACATATGCAATATGCGCCAGATAATTTATTTACTTAAAATATATATACAAAATGTTCCTTAATTTTTTTCAGCCAAATCAAAAATCAATTTTCAAGAGAAAATTTCTAAAGAAGTTATTAATTTCTAATTTTTAAAATTCTGTATTTTCAATATATCTCGTTAATTAAACTTAGAACTTTTCTCAAAATCTTTTATCGTTAAAATTAATGTATGAAATACCCTGTATATTCATCTTTCAAAATATTTCGGTATGCGTTGCAAGTATATCTCGATGATTTTTAGCATGTTTTTATTTCTACTCGTTTCTCAATAAAAATGGTTCTTACAATGTCACAACAAATAATATATTGTGGAAACAAATGATATGATTACAAAAGATGATGAAAAAGAATCCCATAGCAGCAATCAATCATTATGTATCCGAAAAAAATACTTAAAGCTTAATAATGCCAATTCGAGATATAATTTGCATATCTTTATAAAATACACATTCTGGCATGAAAATATCGATGTACGGCATAAATCTGAAATAGTTTAGTTGAAAAATTGTCTTATATTAATTTAAAAAATCCATTTATTTCAAAATTACTTCAAATTTCAATCGTTAATATTGTAGGTGAAAATCTTACTGCATTGTATATATTTAAAGTATCACAATGCACTATTATATTGATATTTTATATACTTATGTGTTATGTGGAATCAATGTTATGGAAATATCTAAGTTTTACAATAAAATAATTTTCTTCGTCAAACACATGATTTCTGCTATAATCGCTTGCATTATTCGTTCAAACGGGAATCAAATAGGATTTCGTCAGGATTCCCAAGCTCTTCTCTTTGTCATCTTGTTAACTCTTCCTAGTAGTAATATTTCTTGCTCTTCTCAAGCTAACTTAAACTACGTATATACAAGTGTTACGCTCGTGGAAGAGGCGTGAAGCGATATGGCCGATTCGAAAGTTTCTGTATACAAAAGATGAGACAAAATCGGCGTCAACATTATTGACTGTCGTTCACATTATTCGGCTGATTTTTCACAGAGTCCATATTTGGAATATAATCCATGGCCATCAAGCAGGCGAACACCGTCATCACCATTTTCGGCTTTACTTCAGTGATATCTTCTGGCAGGGCGTAGACGCGCGCTCCGCATTTCCGCGCTAAGGATATCGCGTATTTAGCATTGTCCAAATTCTCCTGCGCAGCGAAAGACAAAACGATAAATGTTAACAATTAATCCAATCAACAAGGTTGAAGTGCTTTTCTTTTCTGCACAATTGATTGGCATCAACCGCTTAGATTTTTAGAAAGATAATGAGACAGAATTCGTTGAATGTTAATTATGACTAATAGATTGATGCCTGTGGGCGTAAAGACTTATATCCGCCGATTAAAAAAAGTGCATTTGCAGATACACGCTGATTTTAGACATACTGATAAAATCAATATAAACAAACGCGTCTGCCAATACGCGCATAACTCGGTTCGGAGCTGTTTATACAACTGTAGATTGTTATTGATCGAAATGAGAATCCCTTCAAGATTGACTTAAATGGATTTCATTAATATGTATTACGACAGTATCTTATTGCATTAAAAGTAAACTAGAAAATCGCGAATAAATATGTTTATTAATTTTTGAATGTTCTGTGAACATTTTTGAGATCGTGTAGTAATTTTAGATAAATCACTGGACATATTTTCTTCTAGAGTTTTTCTATAGTTTCTAGAAAAGTTTTGATTAACTAATTTTTTAGTTTTTAACAAATTAAAATTCAATTGAAATTTATAAAATTTATAAAATTTTATAAATTTTATAAAATTAATATTAAAATATTATATATTAATGTGATGATTCCTTAATAATAGTTAATAAAAGAGCAATTTATAAAATTGTTCTTTTTGTTATTTAAATTCGTTCAAACTAATATTAAGGAATCATCACATTAATATATAATATTTTAATATTAATAATATGAATGTAATGCGAATAACTGACGCGAAAAATTGATCAGCTACGAAAATAATTATCATAATAGACTAAATAGTATGCTTCATATCCAGCAAATATTAATACGAGCTTTGAATATTATGAATATTAAAAGGCTTTATCGATAGAATCCTTACCTTTTCAGTCCCACCTTCTTTAATCAGATCGTAGTTCACCGAACCAGGTTTAATAGCATCAATAAGATCAAGAACAACCTTGCCGTCTGATATCGCATAATCTTGGAATCCCTTGATGCTGCTAGTTTTTCCAGCCGCCTGAAGTTTAGAATTTACCCATTGGACGATTTCTTTTTCAACAGTGCTTCCTTGAGTACCAGCTAGAGACGTCAGGATCGATAGGGTATATGACCTCATCAATTGCCATATAAGAGCTAATGTCAGGGTTGCGTTTCCGTCATTGATATCTTGTCCGGCGATACCCACCAACGAGAAGTTCATTTGTTTGCCCAGTTCGACAGCGTAATTGCAGTTTTCCAGCTTTTCCATAAACTTCCGGAGTTTCGTAAACTTTTTGTGCACTTTGTTCCAATTTACAGTACCTGGTTTAATAATATCATACAGCTGGAAAATAACCAAGCCATCAGCCAAATCTGAATAGAGCCAGTTGACATGAGGCATCACACCCATCGAGTTCATCCAATTTCTATAAGTTTTTTCTTCTCGCGTCTCCTCGAGAGATTCCAAACCCTCAATATTACTTTCTGGCTTGTCTAATCCGGGGTAATTGTTGAACATATTAGCAACGAAGGCTAAATTGAGCTTGTAGATACCGTTTACAACATCACTAGGAGTTACAAAGCTACGACAGCCTAGTTTAGCGGCTTGCTGAAGCATGATCTCTGCTCTGGACATATGGTTTGGTTCCATTAAGGCCTCTAAGGTGATACCAGCCGAGTTAGGTGCAATTTGTTTGATAAGATAAGTATAAATCTCAGAGTCTGTAATGTCAGATTGGAAATTGTTGCACCGTCTGGCGATGCCAGCATTTTCCAAATGATGATTCACCCATCTGAGAAGAATGGCCTCCGGAGATAGTTTTAACAGATCTTCGATTCGTTCGCCATCTTGCAAAAGCGTCGCAAGACCAGGACAATTCTCGAGAGTAATCTGATTGAATAAGCCAATTCGGATAATCTGCCACAGCAGTCCCAGCACTAAATGAGGTGAACCTTTTATGAGATCGTGAGCGTCAATGTTTACGATATTGCAGCCAATAGATTGAGCCGAGGACAACGCCAACGTTAAATTCTCGTGCTTCTTGTACAACGTTAAATTTTTCTTGTTAATCGTACGCTCATCAATAGTGTCCGGACAGGAATGATTGATTATTTTGCTGAAAAATAGATGAAAAATTAATTTCAGCAATAGAATATAATAAATAAATTGTACTATTATTTATCTACTAAAATAAATTAAGAGAGAGAAAAATTTATAATTCCGATATCTTAATTTGCTTTAAATATTAAAATCTATACATATACATTTAAAAGATATATAATAGATAAAAGAAGAGCATTAGAAATTAGATGAATTCACAGATAAGAGAAATAGGCTAGGAATAGAAAAGAGAAGTAAGAAATACGAAAAAGAAAATTAGAAAAGTAGGAATAGAAAGAATAAATGATAATGAGATAATAAGAGATATGATAAAGTTGTGCGAATGGATCATCTAATAGTGTGTACATAGATAAGAATCAAGCAAATGAAAATAGATGTAAAAAGAGAATGAATGAGAAAGAGAAAATGATAACGAAGAAATATATTGAAAAAAGAAAGGAAACATTAAAGAATTATTTAATAAAAAAGAGGAAAAGTGGAAAAAAAAATAAACAGAAAAGAAATACAAAAGTAGACATTTCAGAAAGATTAGAAATTGTTGAGATTTACTGACAGGAGGAAGAATGAAAAATATTGTAGAATTATTGAAAAAATTGAAAAAGAAATTAAAAGAAAAACGATAGCAGAGTTAAAATAAAGTGGTAGAACGAGACATTAAAAAAATGAAAGAAAAATTGAAGGAGAAAAAGAAAAGATGAAAGAAAAAAGAAATAAAAAATAAAATTTAAAAAATAACAAAAATAAAACATTGAGTAATAGAAAAGAAAGAAAGAATATGAAAGAAATAAAAATAGAGAATAAAAAAAAGAGGAAAGGAAACAAGTGTATAGAAAATGCAATGTGAAAACAGACAGAATGAAAAAGATAGAGAAAATTAGAACGAAAGAAAGAGAAGAAAACAAAAGAAGATAAAGGGAGAAATAGGGAGAAAAACATATTAATATAAAATTAATTAGAAAACTAGGAACAGTATTATTGATAGAAAAAGTAAGAAAGAGATTGGAAGGACGATGATATAGCAGGATAGTAATAAGACCCTGGAATCCAGTCGGCGCGAGGGAGGGACCCGGTCGGCTAGCAACGGACCCCCGAGGAAGGCGGACAGATGTGGCGTGGCCTCATCTGTCCGCAATAAAGAATGAGAAGGCGGGGAGAATCACACAATGCTCTCCCCCAGGAAGGAGACCCAGTGATAACCAAAGAATCACCGAGTCTCAAACGCGGAGGGGAGTCCATCGTCAAGGACCTGAAGTAATACCCTGTAAGTTCCAGGTCCTTGCCCGCCCCTCCGGAAGGCCACCTCGGGGGTTTTAGCGAGTACACCGGCGGAACCAACGTTAGGTTGCTGCTGGGACTCCCGCATAGTCTTTACCCGATTCTCCTAGAATGAGAGTATCCATAAAGGATTTCCCCCGAGTTACCAAAAAAAGGATAATAATAAGATCAAGAAAAAATAGAATAAAAAAAAATTGATAAAAAGAAAATGCTGAAAAAAAAGAGAGTGATAGAAGATTTAATATGGAAAGAAAATACAAAGAAATGAAAATCGAGAAAAAAAGAGGAAATAAAAGGAATGAATGGAAAATACATCAGAAGAAAGTGATAGAGAAAATAGAAATAGGAGAGAAGAGAACCTTCAAGAAGAGTTTTGAGGATGAAATAATAAGAAAAAAATGAAAAAGTAAATGAACATGGAAATAGAAATAGAAATAAAGATAGAAAAGAGATATAAAGAGAAGGAAAATGAATAAAGAGAAAAGAAGGGAAAGAGATGAAAGAGAAAAAATAAGAGAAAGAGAGATAGGAAGACAGAAGAAAAGATAATTAACAGATTAAAAGATAGGTAACATTTTAGAATATGACAGAAATGAAGAATAAGGATGAATTGTGGAAGAATTGTGGAAGAGAATTGAAAAATAGAATGTAATGGCATTCAAGGAAACGTGGTTGGCTAAAAAAAATTGCTACAGATAAAGAACAAACTATCGGAAAGGATAGAAATAAGAAGTACATATGCAATAAAAAAAAAAGAAACGAAGAGCAATATGTAATAAGGATAAGATATAAAGGCATTAAAGGCAAAAAAGTGGAAATAATAGAAAAAGAAATAATGACTAATAGGATAAAAAGTCGGAGACAAAAAGTTGAGAACAGTAGGAATGAGAGAAGACTTAGAGAAAAAATTAAAATGATTGAGGAAATAATTGGATGAAAGCAGTGAAAAGAAGTGAGAATAATGATAGCAGAATATTTTAATGTTACAACAAGAGAAATTGGATGTAAGATAATTATAAAGGAAGAAGAAAAGAATATTTAAAAAAATGAAAAATCAAAAGATAGAAAAATAAATAAAAAGAAAAGCAGATTAATAGAATAACTAGATAAATCAGGGAAGCATTTTATATAGAAACAGAAGAAAATTAATAATATACATATACAAAAGATAATATGATAATCGAGAATATAATAGAAAATAAGAAAATACGAGAGAAACAAATTCGAGATGAAAAAGGAAAGAATTAGAAGTTAAAGAAACAATATTTGAGATATGTTTCAAGCAAATAAAAAAGACATAAATATAAGGAATAAGATATAGCTAAGCAAATAGATATAAGAAATACGTAGGGAAAAGGAAATTTGGAGAGATAATAAGAAAAAGATAAGATATTTATTATGATGATTATTTGATTACTCTAATCTGAATAATTTTATAGATTATAGAAGCTGAATGAAGGAAAAGTATATAAGATAGATTTTAGATGTAGACTAGAGAATACCAGGATATATGATATGAAAGGAGTTGCAGGAGATAGTTAGCAAGTAGGACTGTACAGAAGACTTGGAATTTAAAATTAATTGGAAGAGAGAAGGGGAAGAAGATTGAGAAGATTGAAAGTAAAGAAATAATAAAAAAAAATTGAAGAAGATAAAGGTTTATTATAGAAAATGGAAAGAGAAAAGAAATGAATTTTTCATGGAGAAAGAATTAGATGAAATTGAGATATTATAATATGGAAAAGAGAGGAAGAGATGCTGGCTGAAGATATGTGAAGAATAAGGAAAGAGAAAAGGAGAGGAAGAAGAGATAAATAAAGATCGAAAGTTCTATAACAAATGCAAATTTATAAAAGCAGAAAGAATACCAGATTATCTTAAAAAATATTGGTTAGAATTAAGATGGAATAAATAACAAGATTTAAGAAAATAAAATGGAAAAAAATAGATATTGAAGGGATAAAGAGAGAAGAAAATGTAAGATATGTAGGAAAAACAAAAAGATATAGGAACATGTTGGGAAAGATAATAGATTAGAAAAAAAGAAAGTTAGAAGTTAAAATGAAATGGAGAGAATATTAAGAAAAAAAAGAAAAGAAGAGAAATTAATGAAAAAAATATAGAGAAGAAAAGAGAGAAATCGGAGAAAAAAAAGGAAAAGTGTGAAAAAAAGAGCGATAAAAGAGAGAGAGAAGGAACAAAGAGAGAGAATGAGAAGTACTACGTACTATCGTGTGTGAGAAACTATATGTAGATCTTCTAATTGTGTGTGAGAACTATATGTAGATCTTCTAATTAGATTAAAATAGAGAGTGTGTTATGTGAGAAAATTTGAGGTAATGCGAGATTATAATTTTAAGAAACTAATAATTGAATTAACATAAATTAGTAACTAAAGAAACGCAATAAATTTTCATTTATTTAGTCATAAATTTTTTATTTATTAAGAAATTATTTTTACTTGTTAATTTAAATATGAGAATAAACCTATTAAAATTAAATCTTAAAATACAATTAAAGCGTAATAAATGCAATTAGAAATTTATTTCATATTTAATCTTTCAAAAATATATTAATATTAGTAAAATAAAACAATAAAATAAAATATGAATATATACCAAAGTAATATTCCATCTTTGACTTTGTCATAAAGCGCCTTTCCCTCGGGATCAATAGGTAATAAGTGCTTCAAATCGGGGTCATGTAAAAGATTGGTGTTAATCCAATCGCTGAACGCCAACTGTTCCTCGAGCCTGACGGAATGTGTGGTGCCTTCACTGGATGCTTCAGAAATCCCACCTAAAGTCTCAAGATTCTCCTTTTTCGAGACGACATGTTTAAACGTAGAACCTAGTTCATTAGCCTTGAGCTCCTTGCAAAGTTTCTCGAACTCCTCGAAGGAAAGACGACCCCTGTGCTCCAATCGCTGTTTATCATCGTATTCCTCGATCATTTGACGCACCTTGTAGCCTGGCATCTTAAAGCCGCAAACGTCCAATGCATTTCGCAGTTCGGTAACATTGATGAAACCATCTCCGTTTGCGTCGATCTATCCAACGAAGAAAATGATCAGTTATTTCATTAATAACACAGGCCTGCGAAATTTGAGCTTTTGTCAGTTACGAAAAGCAGAGTAGGTGAATCTGATAGATTGTAATGCTGAAAACGAATCTGGCCGCAGAATTTCTTCAGCACGTTAGATTTTTGAGTAATTTGTATGACAAGAGTAAGTTGAATGACAAAAATCGCTATTTCCCTAACAGCACACATGTCCGAAAAATATCCAAAGGATATCCATAGGATATCCATAGGAGATTGGGATATTCTATGGATGTCCTTTGGACATCTTTTGGACATGTGTGCTGTTAGGGTTTGGCCAATTTCATAAATTTATTGTAAGGAAATCAAATTTTTTGAAATATTTCTGTCAATGGCATCGTATAGTATTTACTTTTATTTTTCAAATCCACTTTCGATTACCCCCCCCCCCCCGCCGCACGATTTTTTTTTGTTCAGATATACAAATTATAAGACTGGTCATGTACAGAGACCCAATAAGCCATTCTAAATCAATTATGCCATCTCTCTATCTAACTACGAATCAAAATTAGAGATTTAAAAACATACATTTTTAAATACCTTCTGTCACCTTTAGAAATTAAAAATAACGCATCCAATGGCGGATGGAATCACAATAAAAGGATATAAAATTTAGAAAAATTTCTCAAAATGTGTAACAATTGTATTAGATATTTCTTTACAATACTTTTTTAGGCAACCGAACCTGACATATGTCAGTCTTTTCAAATTTCAAGATGATGGATCCACCATATTCATGTCTATGTAAATTTTCTTTGACGTAAATTTTCTTATAACTTCATACTTATATATCTCAACGAAAAAAAATCGTGCGGCGATAATCGAAAATGGATTTAAAAAGTGAGTACTATACAATGCCATTGGCAGAAATATTTCAAAAAATTTGGTTTCTCCACAATAAATTCATAAAATTGACCAAAATAGCGATTTTTGGGCCATTTTTTACAAATTACTCAAAAACCTGCCGTGCTGGGGAAATTCTACAGCCAGATTCGTTTTCAGCGTCACAAAATCTTTCAGATTCACTTACTTTCCTTTTTTTAACTGAACCTCGCAAGCCTATAATACGATAATATTATATGAAGATTATTATCTTGTTAGAGATAAAAATATTATTTTTCTATATTTTCAATTAAAAAATTTTCTCTGTACTAACATCAGTAATATAATACAATAAATAAATAATTTTATGAAGCAACATGTAAAATTTTCTTTTCTTCTTTTCCATATTAATTTTTCATTTTGGCGCTAGGTAACAATTGTGAATTACCATAGATAGATCAAATTTGCAACATCGCCTTTGATAACATTGTAGCAATAGCTTTTCCGCAACACGATTTCTATGCGGAAGAAAATGTGTTCATTAAGAAAGGATGATTGCGTATACAGCAGATAATAAAGTACAATTAATTTAATGATCATATTGATATAAAGAGCATTAATAGATTTTGTAAAATATATCAAAAAAATAAAAGGATAACATTGTTAGAATCAGAAAAAAAGATGTGGAAATTATTTTTATTATAATGTGTTATTTTTAAGTTTATTATAATTTAATGATTCTTTCTTCTGTGTGTCTGTCAAAAAACATTACATATATATACCTATATATATATATATATATATATATATATATATATATATATATATGTGAGCCTATTTGATTTGAGATAGGCAATCATATCTCTTGATGGCTTCAATTTATCTATAATTGTTAAAAACTTTTGACGCATATACGTATTTTAACTTATATAAAATTCCAAAATTTCAATATTAAAACGTAGCATTAAAAATTACTTATTTAAAAAAACATATTTTAAAAAATTACGTTTTTTTAATTAAAAAAATTAAAAAATTTTTAATATATTTAATATATTTAATTTTTTAATAATACTATTATCGTAATTTTTTTAATAATACTTTTACTATTCAAATTAATATAAGTTTCATGTAAAATTTATATACTTTTTATTCAATTTTTTTATAAAAAGCTTTTTATAAACTCTTTTAAAAGATTTTTTTACTTGCAACATGCATGTTAACATAGAATATTATAGAAATTCAAATTTACATTGCATGCGCGCGAATAATAGAAAATGAGTAATTTCAAGATCTTTTAATTAGTTCCTGTATGATTGCGCCCACCATTAAAGTTCCGTAAGAAATACATTGTGTAAGAAATAGACACCCATGCCATTCTTGCAAAGTCGCAGAATTTACACGAAAGAAATATAAGCGAAAAACTCTACTAGAGACTAAGCATCGCTCATAATCATTCGCGTGAGAATAATAGACATATACAATAATGACGGGAACAATCTTGCGTGCAACTTTTTAGAAGGTAGAATTTCATCGTGGTTAATCAGTAGTTCTTTACTATTCTAGAGAAATGCTGCCATAAATGCAATGCCGTATGTACGAATCGCCAGCTAATTAGCATTTAATTTTTATCGTAAATATCGGATAATCATAAATTTAAAATCTATTCCATTTTTGTTATCGAGAGCATATGATAATGATGTTAAATAGATACGATCAGTTCGCGATTTATGAAGAAGATAAGGTAAGTATAAATCAATCTCTGTTTATCATATATAGATATACATATATATATATATATATATATATATATATATATATACATACATACATACATATATACACAAGATGATATGATGTTACATTTTCCTTGATTACGAGATGTAGACTAGCAAAAGAAAACTTGCATTTAAGAAAAAGAACAGTTTTTGAAATTCTCCTCGTGTTCACTTTTATTGATTCAACATATTAAATACAAAATCGAAGATATGCCAAAAGTGCGCGTTAAAAATACTAAAAAAATTGAAATTAAGAGTACTCACAAATTTAAATCTTGGAATTCTTAAAAGAATTCATCCATAATGTCCTATTCTTTATATCTTATAAATTTCCACATTGTCAAAGAAAGAAAAAAAACTAAGGAAAAAGGATCATTTCATCGCGACATGAAAGAACATACTAGGACTGTCATTCATAACTTATCAAATCTTATCAACTGTATGATAAAATAGAAAATAAGTAAAAAAATATGCAGAAATATCAATCGACACAATACAAACAACATTTAGAAACGAAAAGATTATGCTTAATAAATTAACTAAAATATGTTAAAATAAATTAAAAATAAAATCTCTTTCTCTCTCTTTAAAATTTATAATACTAAAATCTTTTAAGTTAAAATTAGAATTGTATATTGTATATCGTATTATTATATTGTATGCTAATATAGTACAGATATTCTCGAAGTTTTAAAATAATTTGTATTAAAATATATATAATATTATTTATAACTGTAATTATTTATAATATTAAGATAAAATAAATTGATAACAACACACTTTCAATTTCATTTTCGAAGCAATTCAGTTTCTAGTTTATGTTATATATATAGTTATTAGTTTATGTTATATGTATTAGACATTTGACAAATTCATTAGGATCAGTAATATAAGGAAATAATCTTTTCTACCATGTTTCGATATCATTACTAAATGCTACCAGAGAAACTGAAGAATTTTTACAATACAACATATATGGTTTGTCAAAAATATAATTCGATTTTATACAAGTATCTCTCTATTGCAAATTTTTCGTAAGAGAGAAACGCAAGATGTTATGATAGTAAAGATAAGACACATAATATAGCTAATACACATAAGAAGCAATTTTGATATATTAAATGATATATTAAAAATGACAATAACTATTCTAAAAATATTTTAAGACAAAATTCAAATAAATATATTATTTTTTGACTTATCTGACTGTAAGAAACATAAAGTTTCATGTCATATATATATGTATGTATATAAGTATGTATATATGTGTACACACACACACACCACACCCCTCCCCTCCACACACATACAGGGTGTCCCTAAGCATGAGATCACACCCTTGTGAAAAGGTAGAGCGCAGGAAATTAAATAAAGAAATCCTATTGCATGTAACGATTTTTGTAATAATAATCGAAATATTAATTATTGAAATTGGACGAATGGGAGAAGCGCTCGACCGCTCGAGTTAGGAGGAGCCTTCGCGCGCCTACACACTCATCGCTCTTCCTCTCCTCAATCACCGCTTCACCGCGCGCCGCCATTATGTTACAGTGAGATCGCCTTCGCCGCCGCGCGTTTCTATTCATACAGATTAGTCGATTTTCTTTAATTTATTTCTCGTTAATTATTGCGAATACTGCATAACTGTACAAGACTTTTCTTCTAACTTTGAGCCAATCTACTTTAATTTTTTAAAGTAATGATTACTTTCATGACACCCTGTATACATTGATCTTAATCGCGTATGCTGTTTCAGGTCACATATATAGTACACGTCACTTAAAATGCATACACCTGCCATTGCCGGTGCACCAAAATGAAGAAACTGTAACCATACTCGTGTAATAACTATTTCATAATAAATAAAATGCATTTCTGAAGTATACTGATACTGAAGTATTCCTCTGATTGTTTTTTAGTAAGACAAAATATACAAAAATAATATCATAGTGTATTCCAGAAAGAATATTGTATATAATTGTTAATTATGATTAAAACAAAGCAGCGGAAGTATTTGATAATTCGGAAGAAATAGGCACATGTATCTCGAAACTTTACTGATATAGAGCTCTTTTAGGAAGATCACTTATCCGTTTCCTGTCAAACGTTAAACAACCGCAGATATCACGAGAAGGGGAAATATGTATCATCCTATGTGCACACATGTGAAATCCACATAGAATTTAATGCGCACAATTCTACATATTTAATACATACTTAATACATATTTAATACAAAATTCATATATATATATATATATATATATATATATATATATGATATATTTATTCAAACTTCTTTTTCATGTCCTATTGTTCCATTGTTTTCTTGATTCATGAAGCTATTTATTACA